CTTGATATGGGGTGTTTCCCCGTTCCCAGACAGATATTTGCTACTGTTAATCCCATCTCCCTCCCCCCACCATAGTTTCCCAGTACGGTCAGTCATTTTCGTATAGTATTGCATTAGATGTTTAAGGTCCATTATATGAGTGAAAACATGTGATATTCGAATATTTGTTTCTGTGAGAAGTCACTCAGTATTATAGACTCTAGTTCCATCCAGGTTGCTGCGAAATTCATGATTTTGTTCTTTTTTATGGCTGCGTAGTATTCCATCGTGTATATGTACCACATTTTTTTAATCCAGTCCTCTTTTGACGGGCAGCATGGCTGTTTCCAGGTTCTTGCTATTGTGAACCACGCTGCGATAAACATGCATGTGCAGGTATCTTTTTTATAGAGTGTTTTTAAATTAGCAGCACCCTCTACTCTGACTTGCCCATTTAATCCCTCACTCTGTTGTGAGTGTCATGAGTAAAAAACAGCACGGACTGCAGAGGTAGGGGAACTGGGCAAGAGACCTGGCTCTGCCCTCATTCGATTTTGTAAAAAAATTTTTTTGAGTTGGAGTCTCACTCTGTTGCCCACGGTGGAGTGCAGTGGCATGCTCATGGCCACCACAGCCTCGACCTGCTGGGCTCCCACCTCGGCCTCCAAGTAGCTGTAACCACAGGCATGTGCCACCAGCCTGGCTAACTATTTGATTTATTGTAGAGACGAGGTCTCACTAAGTTGCCCAAGCTGGTCTCGAACCTATGGGCTCAGATAACCCTCTCACCTCCCCCTCCCAAAGTGCTGGGATTATAGGTGTGAGCCACCGCACCCGGTTCCTCCGATTTTTTTTTTTTTTTTTTTGAGTTGGCGTCTCACTCTGTCACCCAGACTGGAGTACAGTGGCCACTCCCAGCCACCGCAGCCTTGACCTGCTGGGCTCCAGCGATCCTTCCATCTCAGCCTTCAGAGTAGCCGGAAATACAGGCATGCGCTACCACGCCCAGCTGATTTTTTGATTTATTGTAGAGATGAGGTCTCGTTGCCCAGGCAGGTCTCGAACCCGCGAGCTCAGGCAATCCACTCACCTCAGCCTCCCAAAGGCGGCTCCTCTGATTCTTAAGGACCTCATTTCATCTTCCACCCTTGTGTGATCCCACTGGCCAGAACATAGTCTCAGGGCTGCAACTTGCTGCAAAGGAGGCTGGGAGGGCTGGCTTGACTTGGGGAAGCCATGGCTTGAGCTAACAACCCAGACTCTGTTAGAAGGGGAGACAGGGGTTTTGGGGAGACATACCAACTGCAGCCACAGTGGCTCCATGCCTGACTCTCCCTGGTCCCTCAGGCAAGCACATCTTTGTGAATTTCAACCTCCCGGACGTCGCCGTGGGCACCATCCTTCTCATCATCTCCCTGATAGCTCTCTGCGGCTGCCTGATCATAATTGTCAAGCTCCTGGGCTCGGTGCTCAAGGGCCAGGTCGCTACTGTCATCAAGAAGACCATCAACACCGGTAAGTGCACAGCCCCTGATTCTGCCCTTGAAGGAGGGCATCACCACGGCCGCCCCTTGCCGGGATGCTGGAGTCCCATCTAGCAATGGCCCTTGTTCAGAGTGTCTCATCTCTGATCTGATCAGCCATAGAAGTTAAAAGTGGCATTCTTGGCCCGGGCACAGTGGCTCACGCCTGTAATCCCAGCACTTTGGGAGGCTGAGGCAGGAGGATATTGCCTGAGCCTGTGGGTTCGAGACCAGCCCGGGCAACTTGGAGAGACCTTGTCTCTACAATAAAATAAAAAAATTAGCCGGGTGTGGTGACCCACATCTAGCTACTTGGGGGACTGAGGCAGAAGGATTGCTTGAGCCCAGGAAGTCACAGCTAAGGTTAGCCATGATCAGTGATCACACCTCTGCACTCCAAGCTGAGCAACCAAGTGAGACTCCAACACACCCACACACACAAAATCCAGTTTGCAAATCTCAGCCTGTGTGTGAGGTGGGGAGCCTTCTGCCCCACCTCCCACTGGCCTGGCCCCTGCCCCGGGGTTCTGTGGAAGTGCCCGTCAGCACCTCCAGCCCTGCCTCCCCCAGGGGCTGTGAGAGAGCTTTCCTTCTGTCTTCCAGACTTCCCCTTTCCCTTCGCCTGGGTGACCGGCTACCTGGCCATCCTCGTGGGGGCGGGCATGACCTTCATTGTGCAAAGCAGCTCTGTGTTCACCTCTGCCTTGACCCCGCTGATCGGTGAGTGTCTCCCTGGCTGCTCCTTCAGGTCCCCGCTGCTGCTTCCTGTGCTCCCCCGGGGGCTGATGCGTTGTGTCTGTCTCCAGGCATCGGCGTGATAACCATCGAGAGGGCATACCCACTCACGCTGGGCTCCAACATCGGCACCACCACCACCGCCATCCTGGCTGCCCTCGCCAGCCCGGGCAATACGCTGAAGAGTTCGCTGCAGGTCAGGATATGCTGCACGGGGCAGGGGCTCTGTGGGTGGGAGCCACACCCATCTGTGGTCTTGCAAGCTGGTTGCTAACGAGCCACTCTTCTGTTATGTCCCAAAGATAAAACCTATGGGGGGGTGGGGGAAGCCACAGGCAGGCGGATTTGAGCTCCATATGAGAACAGCCAAGCCTGCCCTTTCCTGAGAGAGGCCGTAAGAAACCCCTGTTACTGGAAGTTGTGTCAACAGAGGTGGGGTGGCCACTTGATAGACATGTGGACAGTGTTGAGGATGCACAGACATCACTTCCCATCCCCTTGCTGCCCGCCTTGGGAGGCCCTGACCAGATAGTAACCTGAGAGGTCAACCACCCCGTGGAGCTGGCACTTCAAAGAAGAGTTGGGGGCCTGCCTCGCCTGGCTCAGCTAGGTGACTTGTGGGCAAGACCTTTGGGATTTGAATCCTTGTCCCCTTGTTTACAAGTGACCTAATCTCAGGCATCAATTCTCTCATCTGAAAAATGGAGGACATAACCCCCACTTCATTTGGATTATTATCCAGATCAGATGAGACACAGCTTAAAGCCACACAGTCCCAGTGGAAATACAGATGTGAGCCGGGCGCAGTGGCTCATGCCTGTAATCCCAGCACTTTGGGAGGCCAAGGTGAGAGGATTGCCTGAACCTAGGGTTCAAGACCAGCCTGGGCAACTTGGTGAGACCTCATCTCTACAATAAATCAAAAAATTAGCCAGGCATGGTGGCACATGCCTGTGGTCCTAGCTACTTGGAAAGCTGAGGCAGAAGGATTGCCTGAGCCCAGAAACTAGAGGCTTGTGTGAGCCATGATCGTGCCACTGCATTCCAGCCTGGGCGACAGAATGTGATTCCAGCTCAAAAAAAACATGGACTACTGATGTTGAAACCCTTTCCTTCTGCCCACCAGGTCTTAATGGGTTAGCTGGAAGTAGGGAGTCACAGTCTGGGCAGCGGGGGGCACAACCACGGTCAGACTGTACCTAAAGCATCAGGCCCCGAAGGCCGAGCTGTGGTTCAGCCTGGTCCCCTGCCCGGCCCTCCCAGACACAGAGTAGGTCCTCAGGGAACACAGGTCCTCTCCGGGCTGGCCATGGGGGTGAGGAAGGCCGGCGGCCGGCCGAGGGTGGCTGGCAGTCCTCCCCCCGGGGAAACCTCCTCCACCGCCCACCTCGCCTTGCAGATCGCGCTGTGCCACTTCTTCTTCAACATCTCCGGCATCTTGCTGTGGTACCCGATCCCGTTCACGCGCCTGCCCATCCGCCTGGCCAAGGGCCTGGGCAGCATCTCCGCCAAGTACCGCTGGTTCGCCATCTTCTACCTGGTCTTCGTCTTCTTCCTGACGCCGCTGGCGGTGTTCGGCCTGTCGCTGGCCGGCTGGCC